ACGCAAATCCATCTGTAATGCGAGAGGTACCGATTCGCGTGCCCAACCGAGGTGTCTATTTAGTCGTTTATCTTCCCCACCTTTGCCTCCTAGTTACGTGCTGCTTCAGAAAATTATGTACTCATCACGTGTCGTATTTTAATAGGCTTGTGCAGTCACCCTGGTCGTAACATGAGAGTGCACAACAGTGTTAGAACCATGGACGGCCCTTTGAGTAAATTGTTGATTTAAAGGGACTGACTTCAGCAACAATGGTGTTTTTCGGCCCATCAACTTCTTACAGCAAGTCTGACAAACTTTTTCTAGGCAGCATTCTACCCTTATTACGATACGTTCAAGAAATGCATACTCGGTAGGAAGGCGACTGGGATGTCAAACCAAGTGAATGGCGTCCTGTGGATCATGCTTACTGGGTAAGGAATGCGAGGATGGAGAGAAACCAGGCCAGTACGCAATTTACTTACAGCTCATCAAGCAACCAATTACGTTCCTATCGTCTGTAATGACATCCTCAGTCTTAATAAAACTCATAATAGTGATGTCTCTGACATTGCCTGAAGTGATCTGTCCTGTTCAGCAGCACTCACCTCATTCACCAGCAGCCTAGGTAAATTGACTGGCCACCACTGCAGACCATCTGATTAAGTCTGTTTATGGCGAAGAGCCAGTGGATAGCATCTCCGGACGCCGACTTCCGGTTTTTTTCTCCCGACCGTGATAGTTACAGTTGAGAATTAGGCATTTCGGGCACTCTCTCCAATAGTGTCATCAATACAACCGAAGACCCAACGAGATAGGCGTTTATCGCTGTTTACGTTTTGTCCTACGGTCCTGACTTTTCCGCAGACATCATTTATAGAGGGATAACGATTGTTGTGGCAAAACTCTCAACGCCAAGCAGTGTCCTCAAGTTTTACGTTTGCATATATACAGCTTTGATCCTTTCTGAGTAGTAATCTCGTCGTTCATATTTTGCCATTTTTGAAAAACAACTACAACATGGAATGCATCTTCCGGCAAGACAGGTACTGTTTCTAGATGAATATACTTTACCACAGTATTGAAAGAGCTGTCGTTTTCAAGTCTTGATTACGTACTTGATGGGGTAGTACCACTGATTTTCAAGGGTTCCTGAGTGAAGGAGTTCTTTGTGAATCAGGCTAGTGACATACGAATGGGAGAGTTTTAGAGCGTTCAATGATGGCTGCCAAATTTCAGTTACGCAGAGAAGCTCATCTGCTTTTCGCGCAGACGGTTAGCGAAGAAGAATATGCACGAGTACGTTGTCTGTCCCTGGGAGACCTATAGCTTCCTAGTGGGGTCTCACACATGGATTTCACTTAACAATCATTATTCACTGAAATATCGGATGACGGAATAGTTCAAGGGGAATAGGTCATCCGTACATCGGCTGCGCAATCAATCGAGAGTCACTTACACACTGTCATTGAGAATGTTTATTACAAAAATGGTGCCCAGAAATCAGCCATGTTTTGAAGTTTGTGTGGGCTTTTTCTGATTTTTTGTCTTTTATCATTCCACTTAGGACTTATGCCAGAGGTCAGGGAAAGGATTTTCGAAGACTACTGACAAAGGCACTGTTTGTTAATGTTAAGACATGAAAAAAACAGCAACTGAAATCTTCTGTAAATTCTGAGTAAGTCTTTTTTGCAAGTTTATTACAAAAAACTAGCCGAAAAACTTCTCAGATAGTCATAAGCTGTCGTTGCTCATTGTAAAAAGTAAGTTGCGGGATAAACAGCACTAATACGTTGGTCTAGAAATCGCCAATTATTTGGCAAGCCAAGAACCTGCGACTGGTTCCATCGTGCCAATTGGGGAATTAAGAAGATTATGTTTGTAGAGTTTAATCCGCTAACTGTCTAACCTTATTTTTCATTCTTCGGACTGGCTGCAGAACTTGCACCACAGTAGTGCGACGATCCAATCCTTCCGGCACACGAACTGGTTTTTTGAAATCGACATCTGGAGAGCACTAATGATAGTACAACTGTCGCTCCCGACAACGCCCACGTGCGCCAAACAGCAAGATGGGCCCAGGCACGGTGACATGCGCGTGAGCTCTTTTATGTGTGATAGTTACGAACAGCGAAGCATCTTTCGGTTTCCATTCTCTCCCGCATGGGCCCGGTGTCGTGACAGAAGCTGAAAAACCGGTGGTGGTGGCGCAGGTGGTTGACGCGGCGCAACCAAGCACCTAGGCGTGCGATTACACCTGGTCTGCGTACAATGGACCAGGGTTTCACACAACGAGGAAAGTGGGGTAGCTCGGATCCTAACTGAATGGGAGTGCTATAAACGTCATTTCAGTCTGACTCTCAGTCCACCAGTCGGCCGCACAAACACGCACTGGGTTGACGTCAATAGGCAACCTCCTAAGCCACGGCTTTAGGCGCACTGCACTAGTTTTCAACGCATCAAATTGTTTATGGTGGTGAATATGCGCCAAGAGTCGGCATCATTCTCTCCTACTCGTTCTGTGCACTGGCCGACTGTCCAAGCCGGTCAACTAAGTGATGTTGTGGTCGGTAGAGGTGGCTGGCAGGACCAAAAGCAACCCATCTGCACGGGCCACACGCATGACGCATCCGCCCACAACACGCCAAGCTTTCATGCAAAGTCCATGGATCGTTCGGATCTGGCAGAGGGTTACAAGGATGAGCCGAAGGACACACTTCCCACCTACGTTAGAGGTGTCTCGAGAGCACTGATAATTAGGTAGGGAAACGCCACACACAGATTTCATGATCCGTTAAAAGTTTTACTTAGCAAAATCTGATACATACTGATAGAAGTGGCAAAGTACGAACTGCATTTTCTAACTGTTTACATCAACAAACGGTTTAAACCGTTTGCCAGAAGCCAAGGTCTACTGAATGGTCGCGAACGTGATCATGTATGCGACCTTTACTTAAGTTGCCGTACGGCGCACGAAAAAAGTCGTGTGTGAGCTCTGCATGGGTGAATACGCACGCACAGCCGCGCTCAGTGGGCGAAGGGGATGAAACTCCCCATCTCTTTGATCAGTTTGGAAGTAATAACTATCCGAGAGCACATATTACCAAACTATCTGCGACCTCGCAGTAGTCAGCTAACCGAATGCTATGATGCAGAACACTGGATATGAAACTCACTGCCTTGCATAAGAAGCGTCAAGGAGGCCGCAGAACGTGTCATGCGTGATTAAAAAATCGGCCGCATATAAGGTCTTATAACGTAATGCGTACCTAAACCACGTACACAAAGGACAGACTAAACTCAATCAAGCATCCGCCAGTCAAATAGCGCATTCCCTCTGCGAAAGGACGCTGACACCTTACGAGAGAAAATGGGCAAAAATTAGGTGTAATTTACATGAGTCTAAAATGAGCATTTACTGGAGGTCAAATTCTTTTCGGAGTCAATTAAGGGAAGAATAAAATCATGTCCTCGACTTTGCTGTTGGATAAATCGGAAGAAAGGTAGCACGAGAGCTGACCGAGGTCAAGGAATTCAGGTCCGCATCGATCAGGAGGTGCGTCCTCTTTACGCCTAAAAATCCCACTTAGTCAATCTAAAGGCCGCGGTTCAGCGCACTGTTTGAAATATGCCATCACGAACGATGTAGATCATTCAAAAAAACATAAGACGTAATGGCTTGATCATTTCCATTTACACTTTTCAACCCTCTGCATACCTGTATTATTGTGTCCAGGGGCCAGTCCAAAGGCACAAGTTGGGTAAGAGCTTTTCCAGATGCTCGACTCGTTCTCCTACTCCTTTCTTGACTCCTGTTGCGCCGACGACATTCGTCATGGAATAGACTGGAAAGCTTAATACATATGTCCCCGTTGCGGTATGCACAAAAGTGCATAAAGACACTGTCAGAACACAATCTGACGCGTATCCCTTCCTCTTTCCGGCATGTTACCATTAGGTAAAGCTGAAAGACCTGGCAGGGCAAGCATTAGCGTTGATTTGATCATTGTGAAGGGCATCTGTAATGGATCTTTTTTATGGGTATGGATATTACGTTGGACACGTGAATATGGATGACCTCGTACTGCAGGTTGTCTTGCGCCAGATACCAGGGGAGTTACAGGAAGGGAGTAATTACAAAAAACTAACTGTTGGAAGTCTCTACTTACCCTCATTTTTGGGCAATGCTCTGCTAAAATGCGCTTTAAGGTGCATTGCCTCATAAACAACCAGATAATAAGCAAGCATTTGAACACTGCTTTAAACTCTGACCTTAACTTAAGTGCTGATGATATAAAAATCTTAAATATGGTTACGATTTTAGTCAGTAGATCTGTGATCGTTGAGTGAAATAGAGATGCGAAAAAGACACACGCGTTCCCATTGCTTTCTTAATCGTTCCGGATTTGTGAGTTATATTGCACTTTGCCTAGGAGCAGATACCTTATAAGGACAGAACTCAGAAGAAGAAAGTTTCACTGAGATTAGCTTTTCAAATGATAAGTCTGAAGTTTGCAATATTAAGGCCGACAAAAATATTGCCTAAAAGCCGGATTACCAAATGTATGCTGTAGCAGTCAGACCACTTTTTTAATGTGCAGATCGTCATCAATGACAAAATGATCGTCCCTATTGTTTCGATTAATACAATAGTTGAACCGAAAGCCCCGTCCTCTTATACCGCCCCATCGACGTTAGCTGTTTCTCTTACGATAAAGGTTGAAATTCTAGAGCAATAATATGAAACTTTCAGTTTTCACAACTTTTTAAGCAACTGACAAATAAATCTGCATGCGGGACTGTTTTTGCACAGTCATTTGGTTTGCAGAAGCCCGTTTGCTGGCCTCGTACACATACAGTTTTCTGAACAACCAAAAAATGTATAAACTTTATTCACATCGAAATAAGCAAACTTTTTACATTGCAGAAAAATAAGGCTTTTGGCAACGTAAGGTGCAATTAAACACAAACAACAGATCTGATGCGAGGGAGATGCAAATTGCCGTATACCAGTAGTTTTCTCAATCGTTAATTTTGAAGCCTGTGAATAATGAAAAGCGATGAAAAATAAGACAGTACCACATATTGAATGGAATTTCATTTTAAAAGCAGACGTTTTATTGAACATAAGTCACTGCGGAAAATAAAATTCTTTGAACGTCATTGGATAAAGCGTGAATTAATGACATTGAGAACTTCGTTTGAAAATAATAAGGAGGAATCTGGCATTCTAGACGTTGTGAAGGCCGCTGTGTTTTGATTATTTCACATTAACGACGCATACATCCACATAATTTGAGTCCCGAAAGCCAAGTAAAACCGGTCGTTGGTTTTGTAGCCGCGGTTTCTAAAAGGTTTAAAAAATATTTCTTTAAAAGCGAAATAAATAACAGGGAAAGTCATTGGGACGACTTACGCCTTGCAGTCAAAAGCCCAGAAGTTTCAGCAACATAACGGGATGTCAAATACCTAATCACTTACCCCTATTTAACAAGTATCTTAGTGAGATAGGGTTACGTATAACATTCAGGAGTGATTTAAGACGTTCCGAATTCAAATATACCTTCACAGACACAATATGCTACAGATCCATTTATCCATAGTACAGAAGAGAGGAAAACAGCAAACCACAATTCAACGCCTATTGTTTAGAAAGCATCTTATCGCAAATTATGAAGGTGCGTTTTGAAAAAATATGCGATCACGTTTTATACTCTCGCCCAATTGAATGTGCCACTGCTTTCATAGGCAGCATAAAATGGTGCAATAAAATTGCGCACAAATAGAAAGGTCAAAGAAATGCTGTAGGCTTTAGGAACAACATTTTTCTATAAGTGCTAGAGTAACTACTGACATGTTTCACACTAAACAATGCTCCGGGAGGAAGAAAAATGGAAAAAAAATATAAAAAATAAGGTAGAACATAAAATGCGGATAAAGTTAGGTAAGGGAGAATGAATGGTTCAGGGATTGTTTTTCCAGTTTCCAACTAATAGCATTCATTAACTTTCACAGACATAGACGCACTAGTTTTTGTTTTAACGGTTGTTTACGGACACAGCAAATGGATGTGCTCATTTTTAGAGGTCTGGTAATTTAGGGACCGTTCTTGCCAGAAAGATGATTTAAGATACATTGGAACCTTTACGAGGATAGCAACATTTTCAGACAATGCGGCCAACATAGTGTTTTAGTTCTCGTACATATTAGTAAGGTATTTTTCACGCTGTTTAACATTTTCGCGTTTTTCTTTACATATCCAGATCTCTGTTCCATGTAATTGGGAGACATGCAGTTCCCTGTGCAAACTTCGGTGTATTCAGTCGACTAAACTTTTTGATAAGATAATGAAACTCAACCATATCTGTATCTGGTAGTTTTCGCTTTATGGGTCTGATTTTTTGATTCCGTTTAACGTGCACCGTGTTGCACAGATAAAGAATATTTTCCTGTCGTCGTGGCAATGCTGTTGGAGGCTTCCTTTGCTATGGGACATAAATGAACCTCGTAAAGGGAGGCTGAGACTCACCTAGAGTCTACCGGTGCGCTAATGTGACATACTTTTATCGGTTGTTAACTTAGATTGGCACAATGAACTAGAGAGATAATACCAAATTCCGACTCATATGGCTTCTGTAGCCGATTACTTTCGGCTGATTTTTAACACAGAATATATGTCAACGTTTACTAGTTTCAAACCTCCTGTTGTTAGCCGTTCACACTGTCCTTTTGATACATGTAGTTAATAGTGCCAATTGCCTCTCCATCCCGACGAATGATTATCTGCATGCCTGACATTTTGGCAACTGGCGGGGGACGTAGGACATTGGCATTCGGCGAACTATCATGATTAATGTACAGTGGTTTGCAGCATGACATAGAAAATCGGAAAACACGTTGGCGAGGAAGTCGGTCTTTCTGGCTGCTGAAGGTGCCCCCTTTGTGACAACATGGTGAGAGCGCATACCGCTGACGGTTAAAAATTCGGACTTGTGGGCATTATCGGATTTCAGGCTGTTGATTTTAGCTATTTATTATTTATTCCGACGCCTCCGTTATAGGACATATTTAGGCTTCAGACTCTGGTTGACTTAATGAATGCTGTTCATTTGAGCACACAAATACATCAAATATCCATCGTGTATTTTTGCTGCTGAATTATCATGGTAGTGGACTTATAGTGTGATGCTTTGATTTACAAACCACCTGGAGAGACTGTCACATGCAAGGGTAGCCAGTGGCGGTTATCATTAAATGCTTCGTAGCGATTTGTATTTCCCTCAAACGACTAAAGCCGCCGGTTTCCAGTCCTTGTTAACCATACGACTAACATTTGCTGTTGCCGAGACCCAGTTCTAGATTCCGCTAACCTTGCTCAGCCTGAAAACTTGTGTTGCGTTTTCCAGGGTTCCTTATATCAACTTCTTACTGTGGTTCCTGCTGTATTTGCTTTCCGATCCTAAGAGAGAAAATACACTTTCACTGCATCGTCGTTTGGGAGTGAGGCCTGACTCAAACGTTCAAAGGTGTATACAATCGTCTGTGTGGATCTATAGAGCACACGCTTGTCGCGGCAAACAATGACCCTCTCGTGAGGAAAATAAAAATGGGCTAAGTCTCCATTAAAAAATCGTTTGCCTCTACTCAATTCAACAAGCAAAGGGCCTTTTCTCTGTAATGTTCGCAACTAAAATAAACGTCAATTTTTAGAAACGTTTTGGAAAGGGTATGGTTCATGGCCGGGGCTTATTACTCCAGAGAGTAATTGCGCTAAAAGAAAATAACTGAAGACATTTGTTTGTACGTACCAGAAAAGGGAGTAAAAAAAACCCTGCAGTGGCTGTTGCGTAAGGATGGGCAAGGTGCTTTAGAGTGGTCATCGGAGTACGACGATGTAATGCTTTTTTGACAATTCCTGAACCACATTCATTAACTATTATCACTAAATGGTAAAATGGTGTTCCATTTTAATTGATGGCAATATGAAGGATCACTATTTGTGGAACCCGAAAGTTCTTAGATGTTCATCTATTTTTCTCAACACAAATGCACCCTGGAGTAAGTAACCCCCGCCATAAACCACACTCTTGCCAGCGTTTTATTCTAAATGTTGCAATGCATCGCCTATTTATTATTTTTGCGATTTTACAGCAGATTCGTTTCTTCGTAGAAAGTTGCAAGGCAATATTTGTTTTTCTGTTATACATTAGGGTATTTGTGCAGAGCACCTGCGACTAACCGAGATAACTGCTTCCAATTTACTAACCTGACTTCATTGCTACCAACCCTTTTTGTAGTTTGACCACTCAATAAAAAATAAGTGCCACAGAAGGAAACTTTTATTGATGGACCTGCTTCTCTCTTGGGAGCCTCGATAAAAGTGCACGTTAGTTTTTCTAGTGCAGGAAATCTGGTTAATTACATAATTTGACCTCACAGGATACCAGTATGTCACACTTTTCCGTGTCATCATGCTCCACGAGCTACAAGGCACGTAATTTTATGTTGCCCAACAATCGCTGTTTCGTTAAGCTGATTTCATCTTCCTATTGATAAAACCACATTATACCTTACATTTTATCCAAATGGACATTTTAAGATGTCCTTCAGGTTATTATATGTCCTTTGTTCAGCTTTGTCCTGTTTTGAAAACACCTAGAAGTGCATTCACCGATTCCTAAACGCCAATGTCAGGAGAAAGCCAGATAATATCAAGCGCAACCATTTGACTTTGGTTTCCTGCAGTGCACTCAGATAAACTGAAAAACTCAGCATAGATTAGGGTGACAGTATGTCTTAAACTACAAGCGGAAGTTTGAACGACACATTGCGGATCCAACTGCCTCACAGCTGCTCCGGGCAGCTGTAGAAAATTTTGCAAAACACGCTCCCCATCATTTAGCTTATATGAATCTCGCGAGTACGATGGAGTACATTTCGAAGTTACTTTTGAAATTTACGTTCGAGTGCATGAACATGGGTTTCAATAATCCCTCTCAGAAAAGAAACTGATTTCTTTTTTGGCTTAATGGTTAACAATGAGTTGCACGTGAAGACTGCTCAGTGAAAAAGCCAGTAAGGATCATTTATGCCTTTGGTTTGGACTAACGTTAGTAGTAGGAGTTAAGACTCGGGACTGGGTGACCTCCTGGAATTTAACGCAAGGCCATCTGAATTGCTATGGGGGCGGACCTACTCCGCGTGTCCCACCTTGGGGACAACTGTGTGATCCACATCAAGCAATTAAAATGTGGAAGGAATAAGGGCAAATGAATATTTCTTTACCTATTTACCTTTCTCTGACACTAGCACGAACAACATGCTTGAATGCCCCGAGATTAAAACTAGGGTCAGATGATTATCGACCATCGGACTCAAACTCTTTTATTGCCGGCTGTCATAATGCAATTTATATTTTGTCTGTCTATTAGTCACTTAGGCCTCAATTGCCCGACTGCAACTGACAAGGTGTGAAGACACGGATTAAATGTTACTGAAGTCAATCCAAATCTTTAATGATAACTCACCCCGATTCAAGTTTCGGGTCTTTCAGATGAGGACTAGTGTTTGGCTTGCTTATAACGAAGAATATGTCAATATGCTGATTTCACTGTACTTAACCTTTGTCGGTACCACTTCTCTACCGTTCATTGCATTTCCTAATAGGGATTCTACCCAACTGTTGTGAAAGATCGGCAAATTCTGGCATCCGGTGATTTTTAATTAGTCCAATAATGGCTGGCACGGCGTTGGTCCGCTCCTCGGTTGGCGAGGCTATTGACTTAAATACCTCAATGATGCTGGTCAGGACATTGTGCTGTTGCACAGCGGACTATTGAAAACAAATAAGCAGGAGTGGACGTTCTAGTCGTCCTCGCCCTCGTCAGTGTTCCTTCTAACTTCGATTGCTTTCATCAAGACTACCTCGAAATCGCCGTAATCGATCTACAAAATTCAGACTGAATTTCGCAACTGGCACTAAACTAGTGTTTATTATGCCGCTCAGTAGAAAGTCGGAAATGCTTTTTCTGTGCATTTACATGCACTTTAATTTAGGCGAAAATTCAAGGCACGCCCCATTCATTAAAGTCCGCTGATGCGGTGTGCACTTATTCTCCGCGCGGAAAACGAATCGCTAATTTTAACTATCAAAAGACCTAATAAACTAACTTGTTTCATGATAAGTTTCCAACAATCGTTTGTTCTCAGCTTACTCGACGCCGTTATTCTTCCGAATTTTGAACGATTCCCTAATAAATGTCTCAGCTTGGTTTAAAAACGTCTTAACGTTTAAATTGCCGAATTTTTAATAGAGACCATTGAGAATACTCCTTTGTTTATATTGCTAGGACTTTGCTTCCACAACTCGATTTAGTTTATCGAAGAAGTCCAAAACGGAACCCTAATTATCGATAGCACGTCTTTATTTCGTGAAGGTGGTGTTCTCTTATTTTCAGAAACGGTCTGGTTATGCAAGTTTAAAAGCAGCTTGCTGGCTGACCGCAGACGCCAACCGCGTTTATCGATCTTTTACAGACTAATTCTCCCCTGTCTGTAACTACTTCGGCCTCGTTAAGTAGCGCCCTATGAGGCCTGTCCGCGCAGAGTGCACTTAAAAAGCACGAGCTGACAAAGAAACGTTAGCTAGAATCGTGATCAGTTGCCAGTCACTACTAAAGTTTGCTGTGGACACTGCGCTCTTCACAAATCAAACGCATTGTTTTTAGACAACCAAATTCTTTATTCCGTATAATTTGTTAAAAGTACTCCGAATAATTTAAAATAATAACACCATTTCATAAAAATTCCGAAAGCATGGAAACCGAATTTGTCGTAAAACAATAAAACTTGCTGGTATTCAAGTAATCTTAGGTGACGTCTAGATAGGTAGATTATGTTATTAATGAACTGATATTGACGTAGTTTTAACATTTCATTGCTGGGACCTGAAAATATGCAAGCTGCTTCAGGCCTGAACAAGGAGTTGACGCCTGTATGCACTATTTTTTCAACAAAAGGGCAGTGATCAGCATCTATAATCTTAGCGGACAGGTAACAGGTTACAATCAAACTCAATCACCATGATAGAAGCGTCTTTTTATGCTATCACCCGAAAAAATTTGCTTTTATAAGGTCGCAAAACAGAGTAGTAAGATGCATGGTCCGGGGTTTCTTCGTGCAGCTTAGCCTGTTCCCTTTGAATGGGAAGATCCATTCGAAAAACGCCGTTGCTTACACGGTCTGCACTGCGCAGACGCCTCCACACGAACGTCAATCAGTCATCGTCCCTCCCAAAATAACCGGCAACGCCTTCGTTTCGTATTCCTACCTAATAAAAAGTCTCCTCTGAGCTTAACTAGGTATTAAATTAGTAGCATATCCAGTTATAAATCTCGCAAGTTTTAGAATATTTGCGGAACTGACATGATCAAATATGCTACCTAGTATACTTGCGTTTAGACTGAAATGCTCTAGGAACACAAAATTATCTGTGTTGCAGTATGAAGAATAGATTAAAGTTTTCAGAGAAATAGCCCAATGTGTAAGTTGAAAAGTCTAGAATGACATATGCAAATCTTCAGAAAAAGTAGTGGATTCTTGTAGAGCCGAACTCCGTCACCCATAGGAGGTGCAGTTTTAAAAAAGCATTATATGCTTGAAGGTGAGTCTTGCGCATTTTTTTAGAGAAATGCAATAAGTGGTGCATCTCAGGAAGTGGTAACTGAAATTCCGAAATGGTTTTTTGACTAGACAGAAGTTGATAGGTTGGGTTGTAACACTTATTACCTTGTTGCATACTCCTGAGATATTTACGTCACAACGAGATGCCGGATTCTGAGTGGATCGTTATTTCGGCCGAACACATTAACCCCTTTTGTTAAAAACTAATTAATATAATGTATTTTTGCACTTGCATTCACGCCATTACAAATCCAAATATATTCGATATAAACTATGCAAAACCTGTTTTTGTATTTTTTGCATCATAGTAGACCCTCTTACTGTTTTGTGTTTAAAGGCAGGATACCACCTGGTTTAAAAGGATTTTTAAATTCCGGAATACTTAAGGATTTGGCCGGCAACTGTACTAGCTTTAAGGTTTTCAACTTACTGACTATTCCTTTCATGTAAGGAAAATCATATAATGTTTTACGCAGTTATTAAGACACCATATAGGACTCAAAAAATTATACAGTGAATGGGAACTATGCTGTACAACTCATAGGGAACATTAATAAACTGACGGATAAGATGATATTTGAATAAAAATTTCAAGGGCTTAAAAAATCTCTTATGTATAAACTTTATAAAATCAAAAAGGTACCCTTTGGTGGGATATGGAGGTTTAAAGAAAACCGTAAGTTACTACCAAAAGGATTATAAAAGACACACCACGGTCGCCAGTGTCGCAATTTCGCCTAAATAATTCAGTCTAGTCGAATAAACGTCGGAAGTTTAGTCAGTATATTCACTCGATACCCCACCTACTGCAGTTGAAATTATATGACTGTCAAAATCCAGTAACAAAGCGCACTAAGAACTGGATGAAACTCTGGGATTTTTTAAAAATTTGTCCAAAAACATAAGAAATATCAGCAAGTCCATGCAAATAAATTTGTTTGGAAGCATGTTCTGTTATAACCTGCTTTGCAACCCCATTTTTGTAATATTTTTCACTTTGAAACACGTGTGAAAAACTGGGTGCTTTAGTGGGATTCGAACCCGCGATAGCAAGGGGAGGCTTTAGTACAGCCAACGCTTCATCCATCTGATTTAGAGTCCCACCGGACGACGCGAGTTTAATCAAATTTGGGTTAAGTTTACCCGCCAAACCTACTGAAACGTCTGGAATCCACCTCCTCTGATATAGTAAGCTGATCCCACACGTTGCAGTAGGCTGTTCGTGTAAACCTGACCCAAATTTGATTAAACTCGCGTCGTCCGGTGGAGCCTCGTAATTTAGATGGCTAGAGCGTTGGCTGTACTAAAGCCTCACCTTGCTGTCGTGAGTTCGAATCCCACCGAAGCACCAAGTTTTTCACAGTTGGGTCAGAGCGAATTATTTGAAATCTGCCAAAGCACCTCCGTAATATTTTCCACTTGAGATCCCACCAAAATATTTTGTGTCCGATGAAGTTCACACCATGCTGTAAGTTCAGAACTCTTGGCTGCATTCCTGTTCAGAATTTGGCCCTCCCGGTCTACACAATCGTAAAATATGTCGAACCCGCAAAGTTTTGCCTACGTCTACTGATATCGTATTACGACTCGTTCGGTGGACGACATTTGCTTTTAGTGGGTAAATACAGCAGCTGACTTCCTTTTACGCAAAGACGATTTTCATTAGTTAACGGGATGATATTGAATAACATACTTTTGCGCATGGGTTGCATTACTAAAGAAGAGGGGCTCTGGCGTTATCCTTATCTTTTATTATTTCGACTGTTTGATACAAAAGACAAAAGTACTTTTCGAAATAAAGTCAAGTACTTTATCAGAAGGATCACTTCCAAGATCTGCATGGAATTATCCTTGATTGGATAGATTACCCGTGGGTCTGCATTATATAGCTGGGAAGCTGGAAGCAGTCCCACAGTTTTTTTGCCCAGGAGGTAGGACTAAAACGGAATTTGAGCCATTTTGTGTTGTTTTTAAAATCTACTTTTGACATATCTATGCGAATTATTTCTTTCCGGCAGTCGAAAATTTGTACGCACGATTGCTCTTCGAAAGGAACTGAATAAAATTTCGTCAGTATACAGTAAATAGTGTTCGAACTAGAGAAAATGCGTCAAGTTTAGTTATATAGAACAGACAAATATAATACTAGGAATCATCAGGGAAATGTGAAAACCCAGAACCAACTAGATGGGATTGGGGGAATTGCTAATCGGCGAAGGGAGAAAATGTTTAGAAATAAAGGTTTTCGAATAACAGGTCAAACATTGCATTAAATATTATATTTGTTACAGACGTGGCTTTCATGCGGCTCCTGGCTTTTGATTTCCCGTTGATCTTTGCCAAAAAAGGCTGGGCACAACCAGAAGATTCTTACACCTTATTTATAGCGATATTCCACTTAATAGATGTCGCATGCACGGAAACAATTCTGTGAACCAATTAACAACCACACGGTTATACGAGCTGCCTTTAAATGGGTTTCATAACTACTTCTGCGACTAAACATATGCAGAAGTTTGTTTCTGGTGGGCAAACGACAACTGATTTCGCTCAATACAAGTTAATGTATACTTCCGACTAACCTGTGACCACAGTGTTTGCTGGTTGTGCTAAATGCAAACGTCCTTTCTATTTTTGATTTAGAATGTTAATATGTCATAATCTTAGAGTTGCATTTCTTCATTGTATGCCATAAACTCTGTTGCGCATAATAGTTCAAAAGTCTCATTCATATGTTACTTGTAAACCTGACATTCTCTGAGATATAAGCCGCTAACAAAGGTCTTTCGCAAGCGTTAACAGTCAATACTAGTTAAAAAACATACTGAATAAGGTAGTAATCTGCGTCGACTCACTGCACGCACCTCCGCTCGTTTTAAACTCGTAAGCTAAATTTTTCAATTTTCGGGAAGCATTAATGGCAATAAAGAACTCAAAATTGACTTGACAAATTTAGGAAAACACGAAGTTTTGAAGTCCAGATGAGAACCTATTTATTTTACTAAACCTGTCGAACATTTGAGACTTTTGAAACTGTTATTCAGAGACTCATGAATATTCACAGTTTAGTTGCAATCGTAAAACTCGTCGTTTTTGGTGGGCGTTGTTCTGGAATATTAACATAAAAAAGCGTAGTAGCATCCAGCAGAAATAATCACAGGAATCATGATTCTTCCAAAAAACCCCTCTTATTTTCAGTTTTCCTTACTCTTGTCAAGAAGCTTTTTTGTTTTAATGCGGACTTGATTTGTCACGTGCTTTCCTTTTAATAGTAATATCCCTTTGCAACATAACCAGCCTAAATATGGTTGACTAAACATGTTCTTTTCGGCAGATTCTACACATACGAGAAGATCGTTTTTCTGTCCTACTATTCTACTTTGAGGCTTGCATCTTTTTTTCCTTCGTTATTGTGCAGAAAACATTGAAGATGGAGAAATGAATACGCTTTTGAGGTTCTATCTGATTTAATCTATGTAGAGAACTTACTAATTTTCCGATGAAATATTAGAATAAATTAGTTGTGACTTGAATTATTAGAGTCCGATGACGCGACAACCATTTTCTCATAAGGCAGAGCAAAAGCTGTTATCAGATATAAAACTCTATGGTTTTAGTCCCCTATCCGGTAATATCTACCTTTCTCAGCTTGTTTTCGACTGGTTCTAAAGATGGTAATTTTCAGAGGATCAGTTTATTAATTTTTGTCGGTTATTAATTTTTAACTATGAATGAAAATGAACCAGTCAACAACTGTTTAAAAATCCAAAGGCAAAGTGGCATTCGTCTTAATATCAGCCGGTTTCTTGGGTTTTACTGCAAGACATGCATCAAAATCACCTAAGCATCTATAACGTAATTTTGTAATGTAATTTAGAGCGCTAGTTACTTTTGGAGATGGTAAGATCTTTCAAAACCGTTTTCTCTAAAAACAAATTCATAAATCAAATGAGAGACTATTTAGAAAGTGCACTAAAGAGATACTTCTCTGTATGGTAGACAAAAAACTAACAAATTAGGAATCCGAACATTTTAGCGGATTCGCACTTTGACGTCAAGCAACAAACACCGTTAATCAGTCGTTATCAAATCAGTCAACCTTCTTTTAAGATTTCTTTCGAACTGACCAAAATTCATAAATAATTTTTTTTTGAATTAAGCAAAACAAGGTTAAAAATGCTTGTGTAATAGACACGGGAAAGTATGCAACATATAGAAGTACTTTTTTGCTCCTTTTGATACACGCCTTATTTGAAAAGACCCAGTACACTGAGGAAAGCCATTTAAACGAACTAGGTTAGGCAATCCGTTTATATCACCTATTAATAACGGAACTTAGTCAGTCGAGGATCATTGGGAAATCGAACGGAGTTTAGTGGATTCCCTAACGACTTTCCATACTCACCTGATAGATATTTTCGGGATTTTTAGCAAAGTTAAAAAAATAGCTGAGGCTTAACATCTTTAAAAAAACCCTGTCCAAATGTTGTTTAAAGCAAAGACAAGAGCATCTTCTTTGACAATGAAAGTGGGCAGACGTGTAGTTAATTTATGCGAGATGCTAACTTTCCGCGCTGTTTTCGATGCTTCTTACTACGTAATGATAATATGCTGTAAAACGAATATTATGTTTTCATTAAAGCATAGCAGGTTTTTACTTAAACTGCCATAGTGAGCCTGACGAGTAAGGTTAAGATACTGGCATGGGTTAATGTAAAAAATGATCGATCTGCTTGATAAACGTAAATTCCTACCATATTTATGCAGCAGGCGTCACACCTTTCCTTCAGGAATTTTACCGAACTGAAGGTTGATGCACTGGGCATTTATAAGACGAATGTTGTTTCGCTTACAAAGACTCACAACAGAAGTTTACTCCCTCTAAGTATAATGTCTATATTTTACGGCTTCTTCAACAGCAGACGACTGGACCGGTAGAAGATGGTAACTGAAATTATGATCGTCAAGTTTAAATGCTCTAATGCTGGAGATTTCTCTGCGCCATTTAACTGGTTGTACAACAGCTTTTTTCTGTCAAAAGTTATTTTTAAGTTATTCTGTTGGCAAAGGGACAATATTTGGGGTGGGAGGTAATTTTATATGCTAATTACCACCATAGACTACAGCTGCATAGTCGGGGATTAGTCACGCTTGTTTGAACAGACTTAAGCTCTACATAAAAATTTCAATTTGTGAGTCGGCGGAGATTATTTTTAACGGATACGCAATTAGAGAATGGAAAGGCCACCGCTTTAATCGTTTGGCATATATTTTATTATCCATGTGACAACTCTGCAGCATACTTTTTGTCGTGGAATTGGACTTAAAGTTGACAAAGTAAAGAGAAATTTATTTCAATGTACAAGGAAAAACGCGTTTTTGCAGACAAAACTGACAGTACCAATCTAAGGCATACATAAACGACCGAATGTTCCTATGCATCCCCTGAATTTACTTCGGAAAAGAGAAGACGTTGCGCTCCCACATTTACTTCAACTGTTATTTCTGTCCGCCCTCCGGTCAGCTTTACTGATGAAACCAGTTACGATCGCAGTTGCCGGACAATCCATAGCCCGGATAGTGCACAAGCAAAACGTTCTACCTAAATTTCTGCACCCCATCTTAAATACACTTGTTAAATATCAAACAGATGACCGGCTGCCGTTTCTAATGCCACATTACTGTTTTCAGGATATACATGTGGCCCGAACAATGTCAGCCAGACTTTCCCAGTTGTGGTTAAACGGTTTTGCTTGTCCTAATTATTCTTAAAATAAGTCTTCTTGTTTTAGGTAGGTTTTATATTTCCGGCATCTCTGCTTTTCTTAAAATATTTGTCATTTCTGATAAACGCGCTACCACATAACAAGTCTTTTGTATTTTCGTTTACCTGAAACTAGTTCAACGAGTTAATAGAACGTTTTGAGCGACGCGGTTGGGCCGGTGTCCTGTATTTTGAGATTTTTCATGGACGTATCCGCATTGAATAAGTTAGATCACCTGACTTATTTGGCAGATGCAGATATGTCATCGAAAACTACAAGATTAATTTAGGATATACTTCATTTAAAAACCGCACGAGGCATTTGCCTCCGCTTATTTGTGTGTGTAAATGTAAATAAATTCGGCTAAATGTCTTTTCCCGAGAAGAGGGACTATTTGCTTATACCAGATTAACATTTGTTTTCATCCGAGCTTTTTGTCAGTGCTAAAATCAATGGGCTCTCTTCTTCTCACCTGCTCGAATTGATTTTCCTTTCAACCATTATAACTTTTCGGTATTGATTATCATTTGCTGCGTGCTGGCCTGCTGTATTACAGTTTAAGACGACAGTGTTCATTTAAAATAATAAACTCATTAGACCTAGTGTGATTTGTTCCTTTTCAAGGTAATGTGCGCTTAAGTAAACGGCCCCAAAACCTCAGACTCCAAGTTGATAAGTTGCCAAAACAATGGTTAGCTGGCGTTAATAAATAACTGGCTTACTGGAATGTGTAGACGTGTCATCCAAATGCGCCAAATGATCTTTGGTCAGAAAACTCTTGCAGAGCTCTCCGCTCTCGTAATCGGAGTCCGAGTCCGAGTACCCGTCCTCTTCATCCCCCTCCCCTCTCTTTGAGCGCATCCGGCGGGGTAGAAAGGCATCATCGTCCATAAAGGGCACGTCATATTTTGCGTCACTGTTTTCTGCTGTTTGCGTCTCTACTAGCGTTTTGTCTACTTTCGACGGTGTGACGGAATCCGGAAATAGGTGGTCGTCATTGATCGATGGTTGAGGCTTCATTGGTTGTCGTCGCGATCGGGCACCCAGAGTGGCCGACTTGGTCCTCACCGAAGCGTTAGAAGTGTCCCAGAGCATCGCATAAGGAGAACGAGCATCAACATGCCTGTGCAAAGTGCCTCCACGGGGAATTTCCTGTCCAGACTGATCCTTCTCGGAATAATAGACGTCGTGACCTGGAAGAATACGCCCGACAAACTCGGCGTACCTTGTTTCAAAATCATCCTTAGTTAAATTTTCCTTTTCGTTCAGCAAAACCTCTTCGGTTTCAGATTTCAGTAGATTTGTTCGGTCCTTCTCGTCTTCTCCATTTTGTTTTTCGACTACGGAACCATATTCTTTTGATTGGACATAGTCCACAATCTTACATGGCATTTCAGTACAGGGTTGGACAGCAACCCTGTCGTCTATTAATAATGCCTCACTAACGGACTCCTGAACATTGTTTCCATGACCTTCGGACAATTCAGTAGACTCTATAGGCTGCTCTTGAGAGGCGATGGTCGTTTGGTTCTGCTGAATCATCTGGGGTTCCCCACATGCCTCCACTCCATTACTATATTTCATTTGATTCGGTACCGATGACAGAGGTTGAGATTCAGGACTAATTTCGACGTCATTCTCTTGAACGCTGCTGGTGAGTTTTAAGGGTTCTTTTAAATCCTCATCTTCTCTGACTTCTGCGTCGAAAGTCATAGTAGTCTCAACAGGGGAGGAGGCTTTGATGCATAGGGAGTTGGCGCTGTTAGGGTTGGCGGATAAAAGGTGTCCAGCAGTCATGTCTAATTCCTCCTTCTCTTGGTGCGTTTTACCACTAGCCCACTCTCCGTTATCAACACAAGCATTCTTACACGCTTCCTCTGTACCTACGGTGTCACAGCCGTCACCATTATTATTCTGGTGATTGTCAGGATTGCTCTGGTTTAACTGCGCTTGAAATATCTGCTCTGTTCCTTCCTCTGCAGTATAACCGTTCTGCACATGTGTTTCCCCAGACTCATACGTAACGAAATTCATGGCAGACTCGTCTTGATCATTTGTCATTTGAATGGAACTCACAGGATGGAAGCGCTCGGCTTCTTCCGTCAAGTCCAGCTGAGCATGTTCGTTAATGTCCTCCGTTCTAGACGGAGGTTCTGTGAAATTCAAGTCACGATTGGTTGTTGCGCAGATCGGCGCAGGATCTTCCATGCTTTCAATGCTGTTTAAAGCGGCTTCATTGCCATCATCTATACCTTGTTGTTCACAATTTTTACTGCTGTCTTCAACTTGTTCTTTTGATACTTCGTCCTTTGGGAGAACATCATCGGGCGTTACAGCCTTGGATGTCCCTGGAGGTGAAGCCTCTATAGTAGGGTCGTCCTCAGAAGGCAGCTCTAAAGCCTTTGGGTGTTCTTCCATAGTTAGTGTTTGTATGACTGAGAAAGTTCAATTGTAAAAATTGTCCGCACGAGAACTATCTTGTACTGAGCCCTCGATTTGATCAATTTTCGGGGCGAGAGCGCGCCAAAACGTGCTTCGCCAGTATGGCCAATTGAATGAAAGAGTCGGTCGTAGTTAGCCAATCAAAATGCAAATCATCTAAGTGACTTACACGGTTAAGCGGCAAGTTTTGCAACCATATCGGACGGATGCACAAACGCACGCGTATGCCTAGTCTAAGCCTGTACTCCCGAATTCTCGCGCTGGCGCAGCTCGGCATGTGTGTTGTGTACATGCTTCTCCCACACAGAGATACATTCTGTGAACCAACTTCGTTGTCTCTTCACTTACCCGTAGGTCCAAGGGTTCTCTATAAAGTAAACAGTTTCAAGTGTGCGTAAGCCAGCGCAGGTAATTTCACATCCAGCGCAATTCATAACCTTGTTTCTCATAATGCGGTCCAAATTAATGACTACTAGGGGGTTTAGGGTGTAGTTTGTTGTTTCGCCTTAATGAGATCATTCTGCTCCCTCAGGTTTTGGCCCAAGCCTAATTTGTTGAAAAACGACAAATGTTTTGAGGAAAGCATCGCAAAGCATAATAATTCACCCGCGTTCGGTTAACAACGCTTGTTTGTAGTTTGGGCAAACCTCTGGAAGCCCTCTTAGGACGTCTGAGAGAACGCAGGTAAATTACTTAGAACATAGTCAAGAGGAGGCGAATGTTAGAGAAAACATGTTCTTCCGAGCTCAAAAGCATAAACGTGCATAGACCGAGCCAATTAAAATCGTAGATAAAAGCAGAAGGTCAATGGACCAAGCTTGCCTGACCAGATGTCGAATAAGAGGGCAAAAAATCGCACGCTGTCGGGATCAAAACACTAATAAATAAAACGCCTTCAAGGGCTTAGTAAAACATCAGAATTCGTAGTCGCAGTAATGGCATTTACAAGGTCCTCAAAGTTTAGGAATAGAGTATTTGCACTTTTTATTTTCGTGGGACAACCCTGCATTCTAAATGGCTGTAGCTACACGTTGATGGTCGCTCTCGTTGATTATGAAAACCGCCTCGGCAAAATCTAAAAGGTCTTGGCTCCTCACATATTCTATAGTTTGTAGGATACCCTCTCTGTGGCACAGATCGGACGGAGAATTACTCCGTGTTCGTAATTTCGTCCACTTTATCACCTCCAGTCCGTTTGCTTTGCTACTTTTGTGCAACGGGAGGAGGGAATGAGACACTTTATATTAGGTCCAGAGTGTGGCTTTCACGCTACAAACGACCTGGTACGTCTTAACCAATCTCATTGCGCTTAAAGTCCCAACTTTGAAGGTAGCCAACTGATTGTATGACTAGGTGCTCCTGCGAACCGAGATAAAGACCACAACGGCTCCTGCTTCGCTTGGCCTTAATGTCAGTTATTATCTGTATGGACCACTTCACGGAGTTTAGACGTCTGGTTCGCGGCTGCGTGTCCTAGGGTGCGTACAGCGCGCATCGGGCCCGTGCCATGTAAGCGGTGCATATCTTACTTTGTCCGGCTTGTTTACTCGCATATTTTTCAGCGTGCATACTATTCAGGCTGAAATAGCTTTCCTTTAGAGCTTGAGGTAACCCACAAAGACGTAGCGGACGTTTCGCCTCTTATCATGTGTGTCTAATGAAGCTAGATCTCATCGCAAGCTGTCCCCGTAGCAGTACTAACAAGCTAATCGTTTTCCGATTCTTTAAGCATAGTTTACATTCATCAAGATTGGGCAGCGTACTTGCGTACCCATCATTATTTGGCTCCGAGAACCGCTGGAAATAACCAACCAAAAGCCATAGTACGTTATCGGCAAGCGTTAAATTTATGCGCGGGGTGAGGGAACAGTATGGAAAGCTGTCTACAGTATTTTAGAAGAAGGTGTTATTTAGTAGAGTTTTTGATCGACTCTTCGTCGACAGTACGGCATTCGCTAACATGTACCGCCCTAAGGAGTCGCTGCTTCTGAAATGTCTATATTGGTTTATTGTTCTGCACTCTCACCTGTGATTCTTTAGTAAGAGTAAAGCTCTTTTTTAAAAAAAGTTCGACACGAATAAATACCTCTGACGGCAAAGCAGGAGTGTTAAAACGCCGCTGAATTTGTTAAACAACAGTTAGCACTTTCCTACCCCGTGCATATGCTTAGTCCTTGACACGCTTATGTTTTATAAGGGGTCGAATGGCTGGTTTACCAAATTTCTGTCAAGTACTCCGCCTCCTCAGATAGAAAATGCAATGTTCCTTGCAATCCTCCAGTAGCTTTGTTTGGAACAAACTCCAGCATATTACAAGCTACTGGTAGTTCGATCATTTCAGACGATGACGCCCTCCGCTCTTTGAGTTTGTTACTTCTAATGGTCCCAAATATCAGCAAACAAAGGATGCTTAACTAAGCTCTTAGTTTTTTTAGTGATTCTCACAACGCAATTCTCTGGAAGTGTATCTAACTATTAATCTAGAAAGTTGACTTTAACAAATAAAGTACACCTGCTTGTTGAATTTTTTATCTACTTATCACACTTAAACCTTGCCTTAATCGATTAACTTCATTTCAGACTCCACATATATGCGGTATACAATCTAAAAGGCACAAGAGCATAGGAAGATATATATGATTAAGTAACATGCTTGTGCAAAAATTCCATGTATTGTATGTCACCGTGAACGTCATAACTGTGTACACAGCAGAGAAAACACCAAAAGTCATGTTATATGCTTAGGAATTCGCCATGGCACTGCGCCTAGAACGAGGTGACTCGGAAGAAATATAAGTAGTTTTCCCCTGCTTCTGATAGTCTGGAAAAGATAAACCGGTCAGCACTTGGATTTAAAATATAGATATGCGCGGTTGTATACGCGAATAGAATGAGAAGAAACAAAGTAGCTATGAGAATGCAGTTTGATGTTAGATTGTCAATGGAAGTTGTGTCTAGCTTTTGTAGGAGTACTTTTTGCAAACGAGAAGAAGATGTTTTTACGTCACTGGAATAATCCCCCTACTAGGGGAGAAAATTTCGAATATGTGAAATGGGTGTGAATTAGACACTCGTTATGAATAATGTACAAGTTGGACACGTTCAGGGAAACGGACATGAGACCACTGCGCGTAGGGGGTGGATTTAGGGGTAGGGAAATGCACAGGTTTGCTTGATGTAAGCAGAGGGTAGAAAATCGGAGAGGACACCGTGGCAGGTGAAGAAGGTTGGTCTGTTGTGGTGAACGAAAGAGGGTCGGCATAAACCACTTTCGACCGATCAAGTGAGACCACTTCGGTACGATCGTCATGGACGATTTTGAAACGTCTGTGCGCGACAGGACTTGAGAGGGTCCGTTGTAGAGCCGTTGTAGTGGCCTACGAACAATATCTACACGAACAAATACAAAAAATGTGTTAGAAGGTTGGGGTTAATGTATGGCTTGCTCGAACGCGTAGAGGTACGGCTTGGAGGTTGGTCACTGCATGGCGTAACTGCTGGATATATGCGGTAGAATCCAGATTAATTAAGCTTTGAGACGTCCGAAAAAAATTGCCGTGAATACTTACGGTAGTTTCGTAAACAAGTTTAGCAGCAGAACACTCCAAGTCGGGTATGAGTACAGTGCGGATACCGAGCATGGCCAAAAGGAAATGCTCGCTCCCATGAGGGGAGTTTGCCACAGGCCCGAAGCGAGGCTTTCAGTTGACGGTGAGAAAGCTCAACTAGACAGATTTGGGAATACAAAAACCATCCGAGGAGGTCAGTAAGAGCAATAAAAGTCTAAATTAAAGTTGCTGGCTTCAGTCGATGTTAATAGTAGTGGCGACACCGGGATGGGGAATCTAGTGTTCCAAAAGGTTATGGTCGACAATGTCAGCAGGAATGTTTGTAATCGGAGTTGCGATAGGCTGAGTAGGGGTTTTATTGCGCCTCCCCATTTCGGCTTCCTGGCAGGCCAAACTGCGGATATCAGTGTTACAGCTGGGCCGGACAAAACGCTCACTAACGAGGCAGTGAGTAGCCTGGATGCCAGGGTGAGTGAGACAGTGCAACGCGGTAGAAATATGTCGTTGCATCTTACCTGGCATTATAGGACTAGAGAGACCGCGCGACAGGCAGCACATGATTTTACTGGAGGTGGAGAACAGAGCGATGGCTTTAATGTGACGGCCGGTATGCATCAGTTGTTCAGGAAAATTTGGATGTGGCTGTAACTCGGCTATGCGATCTATGTCGACGAAAGAGTGAGCCATAACATTAATTTCAGTTCGTGATAGGCAGTCGGCGACCTGACTAAAGAGGTCTTTAAGAAATCAAATATCCGTGGTATACTAGAAAATAGAATCACGATAATGGGCCACACAATGTGAATACTTGTCAGAGGGAGCGGAGAAAGTGTAAGAGGCTTATAGTCAGTGCAAATACAAAAATCACAGTTTTAACAAAGTTACAAAAATTCTGAATGGCTGGATAAATTTCAAGGAGTTCTCTATTAAAATTACCATAACGAGTTTGGTGGTGGAAGGCCAGAGTTGGGATGCTCATTGGGGTCCGTTGATAGAGGACAGCACTTGCGGAACAATTGGAGGCGTCAGTAACAATGGAGAGCGGGGCATCAGCTAGAGGGTAGGAAAGAGGAGTTGTATCCGCAAGTGTCTCTTAGACACGCTGTAAGGCGTCAACGGCTGTCAGGAAAAGAAAACTGGCGGTTGTTATCCAGTAAAAGCCTATTGAGGGGTGACATAAATTGAACATAATGGGGGATGAAATGTCGATAAAAACTGACAAGGTCTATAAAACGGTACAGCTGTCGGAAATAAGTGGGAGTAGGAAGCTCGCGAGCAGCTACAACTTTGACGTTTATGGAATGGCAACTGAAAACATTTACATGGTGTCCTGAGAACAAGAGCGAGGGAACGTTCAAAAATCAGACGTGGGTGTTACAGGTGTAGATGTTCACTGGAAGTTGCAACTAGAAGGTCATCGACATAAGCAAAAACTAAAGGTTCGTCCCAGAGGGCCTCGTTAATGAAACGTTGAAATGTCTGGTCGGAGTTACGTAGACCAAAAGTTCTAACGAAGTCGAAAAGATCAAATGGAATCGCAGTCACCATTGTTGGAATGTCTTTTGGAGCAAAGGGAATTTTGTAAAAGGTTTTTGCTAGGTCAGCGCCGGAAAATATTATTGCACTGGCTGGGCTAGAGGAAAAATCGTAGAGGTGGGGAAGCGAATATCTGCCGGGAACAGGGCAGTTGGTTAATCGTCGATGATTACCGTATTGGTGTCGGTCACCTTTTTCAAACTATGTGCAGGGGGGCGGCCCATGGACTATTACAGGGGCGAACTATGTCCAGCTCCATCACATAGCTGAATGTAGCCTTGGCAAAGGCTAGTTTGTCAGTCGTTAAGCGACATAGACGACTAAAAGTGGGTACTCCCGGAGTCTAGATATTATAATGACAGAATGTTTAGTAAACTGATTAACCTGCGAAGGCTGGATGAGAGATGAAAATTCCGAAAGCAAACGATGATTGGAAGCAGACAAAGAGATTGTTGAAATGCATAAACTAGGGATGACATGCTACGGGTTAACCAATGAGAATATAATGATGCCATCTAGCTTTTGAGATCCGACCTTAACGAGGAGACCGAAAAAGAACATAAAATCGGCACCGATAAATGGCGGTATGAACATCAGTATTAGTAAATATCCGGCGATAAAACGTCGTAACACACGGTTTAGAGTTAGTTATCACTGACCAAGTAAGGTACTACTAGCTGCATAGATAAAAATAAAGAGTTGGGCGACTTAGGTCAGTCGGAGAAGATGCAAGTAAACTGATTCCAGCATCAACTTCCACGAGGAAATTACGGCAGAAACTCCCGTCGAAAATGTGGAGCAGGCGATTCGGGGAGGTTGGACCGACCAAGTCCGCCGCCGTTACCGGCCGGCAGGTGAAATTTCCGGCGAGGATTTCTCTTAACGACATAGAGATTGGTAATTATGGGCATTTTGCGCAAATGTGTGATGTTACCAGCAAATATCGCCAGATCTAAAAAGACCTAACATTGCCTGAGACACCTGACGGCGAGTAATGGAAGGACTTCGACGGTGAGAGGCACAATAGGCACAAAGCTGAGAAACTTCAAGGTTGAAAGCGTCTAGACTTTTCATTACATTCTCGATTGTTGGCGCAGTTGGCACAGCTGTGGTACGGCAGTTCGATCTTATTTCGTGGCCGTACCTGCAGTTGACAAGCCCCAGCCACCCGTCATACGGGACAAATGGTAATAGGAGGTTTAACCCTAACCGTAATCTCTAGCCCTAACCCGCAACCTTAACTCCTATCCCCAACCATTACTCTAACCCCTTACCCCTAATCCTCAGGCCTGACCAATAACCCTAACCTCTAACCGGTACGGCTACGAAATAAGATTTGGCCGGCACCGACTAGCAGCACTGACTGTAACTAGTGGCTGGTAAATCTCAGAGTGCGATCGGCAGTCTCCGCGAGCATTTGGACAAACGAGGAAGAAATGCTAGGTACAAGGATGGCTTGCACTGAAGATGGCAATCCTTGGAGTAGAAATTACTTGAACATTGTGGCATCAAAGTTTTGTCCATCCGCCAGCCGCTCCAGGCGCCTAAGTAGCTGTGTAGGCTTCTTATCACCCGGGTTTTCCCCGGAAATCAAACGCTGCAGGTGTTTTGGGTTGACTAGGAGATGCAGGAGATAAGAGCCTCCTTTAGAGCAGTGTATGGGGCTTCTGTGGGGAGACAATCTATAATATCGCGAAGTTCCGTGGCGATATCCACAGGCGTTGCTTCCAAAACGTATTTCGTATTCTCCCTTGTAATGTGGCGATGGACGAAACGGGATTTTATAATGCGTAACCGCAACGCCCTATCACCAAGTCGGTTGACTGGGCAGTCAAAATTGTGAGTGACGGTCTGGTAGATTCGTTGGTTATGATTAAACGACGTCGGTCAGAGGTCAGATAACTGAGGTAGAGGATTGGCAAGTTGACACTAAGAGTGAAAGGTGGTAGAAAAGGCGTAGCAGCGTGGATAATAAAAAAGGTCATGCTAAATTAATATAATTAATGAAAAGTAGGACGGGGACGAATTCGGATGGAAACTGCTAAGCGCCGGAATGAAACAGAAAGTGCTATGAACGATGTGGAGGCATCAATTTAAGAGATATGCGTGGTCGTATACGCGAGAAGAATGGGAAGAAACAAAGTGGCCACGAAAATACAGCTTGCTGGTAAATTGTCATTGAAAAGTATGTCTAAATTCTCTGGAGTATCTTTGACGTACTACGCAAAGCGCATTTTCGTGTTACCGCAGGTCTATCAGTTATCAGAGGCACGCATTTGTGAACTGACATCCTCAAATACCTCTCGTTTGTACAATGTTCCCACCAACTATGCACTGTCGCTCTTTTATTTTGAAGTCGGGATGCTTGCCCGACCTCACGTAAATGGACATACGCCCGTCAGCAAATCCTTCATTGATTAGTAGGTGTATTTATTGCTTTCATTGTATACATTCAACGGTCGGATGTGGTTTGCTAGGCCCACCTGAAGTAAACAAACCCAAGTCACCTCGAATACGTGATCGATAGAAAAGGGAATTTACAGGTGGAGCGGGGAACGCACAGGCGACGAGGTCAAGCAGTTGGATACAAAAGAAAAGCTATCAGGACTGCGCGGCTGTACTTTGAATTGTTGAGAAATAGTTGCGCTAACCCCTAACTATAGCCCCTAATCCTAAACCCCAACCCCAACAGTATTGTGTCCATCAGGTGGGGCTACCAAACCACATTTTACCCATTTAACCTTCAAACACTGTCGATAGTTAATGGTTTGGATAACTTTAAAATTCGGAGAGCGGCCAGTGTGGCAGTCGGCTACGGACGTCATCAACAGCAAGGTTTTCGTCAACATTGGGAAGGATATCACTGGTTACAACGACATCCACCGACGCCGAATATATACCATAATTTTGCACGATAATGCCTCTGTCCATCACCCTAGAGAGGTGTAGATCTGACCATGTTTGCAAATGCAATCTAAGTTTTTAGATACGTGCCAGCTTCTCCGCATGTAGCCTCCAGTCGCATTTTACTTTTGTCAACAACTCGGATCTTAATTCTTTCGAAAATATTTTTGTGTTTATCAAAAGAAGTTTGCATAACACAAAAGCTGATGACCGCATAATCAATGTGGCAATCTGTCATCCGCTGGATCCTCTTTTATCTCCATCTTATTTTTTCTCGATAATCCAAAATACTAAGTCCTTCCGCCGCAGTTTGCATGTCCACCGATTGAGGTTTTGTCTAACATGGATTAGTGTTCTTACCACACGTTTGCAGGTTTTAATGTCGC